GTTTGAATCTGGAAATAATGCTGATAAATGCATCTTTCAGTTCTGTTGTGTTTTTTATTGTCTAAAAAGTTTGGTAAATGCAGTTAATGTATAAGAAAGGGACTATAACACTATCTTCAAGCAGTACAAAGAGTTTCTTGTGGCATCCCTGCAATTGCCTGATTAAAATTTCATATATTTTGGACAGAGAAAGACAGACTCTATATTTCCATCTTCTGTCAGACAAGAAACAACTCCAGGTACTTTGGAGAGTTTGCAATACTACTTGGACAGGCCAGTTTTGAAAGGGGCTTTTCTGTAAATAAAGAAGCCATTACAGAAGATCATCAATAAAACATGTCCATTAATGCCATGAAAGTCATAATTGTCCACATTAGTGTGTGTCCTGAATGTAAACATGACTACAAAAATTCATACATTTGTTGTAAAAGCTAGACAAGAGAAGTACAGAAAGCAGAAGCCAAGGAAAAGTGAATAGACAAGAAACTGAATAGAAACTGGAAGATCTCAAACATACGAAAATTAGACAAGTCTAACATTAAGCAGCTCCTTTCATCAGCTGATAAAAACTTTGGGAAAGCTGAAAAAGAAAAACTAATATCCTCACAGCGGCCAATTCACTGAGAAAAATTGTAAGCAAGAAGGAAAAATTATTGAAGGCTCTCACTGGGAAAATTGAATAGAAACTGTCAAATATGAAATGCTGAAACACTATGACTTTTTGTTTTCAAATAAATCAATTGCCTTTGAATACTGCTAGATTAGTACTAACAATATAACTGCCTTTTCACCATATAAAACATTATTTACCAATGTGTGTATAATATGTACATGTGAAAATGTACATCCAGGTGCAGTTTCTTGTGTAACCCACACAAAATAGCCCTTGAAATTTCATTTCTGCGTAGATGCAGGAACCTTATAAAAAAAACTAAAATGAAATTTATTTTATTGTAGGAGAGACCATAACTCAAAAAACAAAAATTCAGATTATTGTTTTACCTCTAGTGTTATGATGCTATTTCTTTTGGTTTCATTTGATACAGGTTTATAAATCTTTTTTCACTACTTCCTCCTTTTCCTCAGTTTTCTTTTTAAAACCTGCGGTCTCATACAGTCTCATTTATTGTGATATTTTTACATGTCTGATCATGTGTTTTTTGCATCTATATCAGAATTGTCATATCTATTCAAGTTATATTCTTGGAATGTAATCTTAAGCTAAGAATTTCAAGATTTGTGTTTTTTATTTCAAAAAATACATTTCTCTCAATTACAGACTTTAAATTTACTATTTCAGACTGTGACCCATTGCTTATGATTCTGACTTCCTTCTTTCTCCTTTGAGACCCTTCAATCAAAAGATCATAAACTATTTTGGTATGGGAGTTGAGCCAATTGATTTTTGGGGTTTGGGCTGGGAGTGGCCTCGTGTGTAGTGTGTATGGATACAGATAAAAAGGTCTGGGATTCAAGACATGACTTGCTCGTTGCCTTCGTACTTGGTCAGTACTTCAGAATTAAGTTCAGCTATTCCTGAATCATATGGACCTGATGCCATTGATGTCCTTATGTGCATCAGGTGCCATTCAGGTTTCATATTCCAATTTCTGAGGCTATGACTTTTATTTATAAACTTAAAACATTATATGAGGTGGACTTTGATATGGCATCATTTGCAAACAGATTTTGGGTCTTTGGTTTCATTGTTCAAGTTGCAGAATCTAATTATGAGTGTGGAGCTTTTGTTTTGGATAGTCACAGAACTTAGTTTGATTCATCCTCAGCTTCTTGTTCTTTAGTTTAATTCCTCTCATTCTTTTTTTCTGTACCCATTTTTGTTTGTCTAACAGATCTTTTGAAAGCAAAGATTGTCTGAATGAAGTTTCTTTCTCCTATCCAAGTAGACTGTTGAGTAGGTTTGGGCTCTGGACCTGGATTTTTATGTCTTGACTCAAAATGTAGTCTGTTCCCTTATTTTTACATCACATCAGTATGGATCATTTGATGTGCTTGCTAAAACAATACAAATGCCTCACATACTAATTCATCTGGATAATAAGTGTCGTCTCCATTTTGTTTCATTATTTTAAGAATTTTTAGTTCCTGACTTTCTCTTTAGATTGACCTCAGATGTCTACATCTTTAAAAGTTTTAAATTTGTTTCCAACTTAATTTCACTAGCTTAATTTTCTATCCTGCCTTGGTGAATATACAGCAGAAACTTACTTTGGTCATGCATGTAGGTTAGATTATCAAAGTATCTAAATCTCATTCCAAGTCATTGTCTTGTGTACATAGGAACCCTCATCAACATCTGACTAGGGTATATTTAGATCTCTTCCAGATGTTTGTGGAGCATACAATCATGGCAAGATCTTCTCTACAAGAACTAGTCTCTTTCACTCATTATGTTGTCTGACCAGTCATAACCCAGTTGTCATTATCTTAATAAGTTGAACTGGGAACTTTTCATCTTTTGTCTCTGGATCCTTTTTCTATTGTCACAGACAGATATGTTCCATTTCTTCCATTATGTCTATTTTGAGTATTTTTCAGATTTTTCTCTTATCATGCTTTGTTATTGGTAGTTAATTACCTTCTCATCTTTGGTTTATCTTGCTTACATATATATATCCAAAACATCTATTTTTCATTGTCATCTAGAAATCTTCCCAGATTGCTGTAGAGTGACAAGAGAACTAGATGTTTGTGCTCTAAATGTTTTATTTGGTGCCTGTGAAGCCAACTGGATGGCTTTTCTCAAGAGTTTTAAGTGTGATCTTTCAATCTTTCTCTTCCATTTCGTGTGTCCTATACTTTCAAAACTCATTTCACCAAATTTTCAGACCATGCGACATGATGAGCTGTGTCAGCAAATCTTGTCTGGCATGTTCCTGAAGCACTTTCCACCATGAGATATCTCTTCATACTCTTCTTCATTTTATTTCCAGAGTTTCAGGAAGGTGAGCATAAAGAACATTTCTTCATAGTGGATTTCCTGTTATGTTGTGAGGTCAACAATTGTTGTGTGTAAAGCTCTTGTACATATAAGACTTCTTCACTGCACTCATGATGTGAATGAAATATCCAGTAATAATTTGAAGCATAACTTTCTACATCTCCATCTTTGTCATTTCTTTCTTGGGGTGGGGTGAAGGGATCTCTACTCCTTCAAGAGTAGAAGGTGCCTTTCTACTTCTTGCTTTCCTCTTGTCACATCTGTATGAAAATTACTGCAACATATTAGTAAAGTTAATTTAATGAATATATAAAAAAATAAATTCAAAAGATACCACTACTATTATTTTCCTTCCTACTTCCTTGCAGACAGTTACTTATAAAAAAATAATTGCCCATAGAATGTAGTGTGTAAGTCACTTAAACACCAAGAACAAGTTAACTGCATCTGATGATTAGATAAAGGAATTCATATGGAGGGCATGAAGATGTAGTCAGTCACAAGAAAATTTTCTGCAAAATTAGTTTATATGAGAATACATATTGCACAAAGGAGAAGCCAGAAAAAAGGGGAAAATAGAGAGAAATGATTCATAGACTAAAATATTTTTTTAATTTTGATTTAAAATGTTAATTTTTGATTTTTACGGTTTCTAGAGAAATACTGAGATGTTAATTTTAAAAAGTACTGTCATAAACATTTGGAAAATGTACAGGTACAAAGATAGTGATATTGTTTTAAATGTCTTTGATATGTAGGTTAATATGCATAATATTTAAAATAGCTTTTTGTGCTTTAGATTTTATAATTAAATTATTAGTTCATTATTAAGTATTTGTACAAATGTGGGATGTATTACTGATTACCTACTGGGAAATGTTTTGGAGATCAATTTTCAAGTAACATGTTTATAACATTAGTGAAATTTTTGTCAAAAAGTTCTTATGAATAAATGGTTACTGTTTTAATACATTAATGAAATACTTTAGGATAAGAAGATAGGTACAGGTTTCAGTATGATGAACAGTGTTGTATTTATTATCCTTATTGTTCACTAAATACTTGTAATGTTGATTATTTAAAAATGGCAGCTATATGCTATTGTCAAATTCTAATGCATGGTTTGGAACATGCATCAACACTATATTGGAATTTGAAATTTTCAAAATTTAATAAATAATTAAAACCCACATTTCATATTTATACAATTTTAAAAACTTAATTGAAGCTGTCAGTGGCTTCCACTAAAAATACGTTCTACATGTACAATGTTTCAGCATCCTCTATGTTTCAGGAGTTACTTGCAAGAAATACCAATTTATACATTTTTTTTCCTGCCATGTGACATTACATTGCTTTTTGTATTTACATAATTTCTTAGGCAACTTTTATATTAAAATCATGCCAAATATCAATGCCTTGACTTGATGACCCTTCATCTCTGTTTAATAGTTCTTTTTCTTTTTTAAATTTTGATTATTTCTAGTGATTCTTTCTTTGATGATGCTTCTCACTTGTATAAGCTTTGATGAAACGCAAAAGAAGTAACATTACTTAATGGCTTAAGTTAAGTTTTAAAATTGTGTAAATATGAAACATTGGTTTTAGTTATTTATTAAATTTTGAACAATACACAAGTGCCAGTCATTTAAATTTGGACATTTTTGTTCATAGTAGCCATTTAACAACTTGTTACTGGACATACACTTTCAGATATGGGGGCATTATACAGTGGTAATCAGTCCCACTGGACATTGAAAAAATAGTAGCAAAGAGTTGGCCATGGGTGCTGTCAGCCAGTATCCTTTCCTATAATTTGCAGTTCATAATTAGGGATGATGGTAGATAGCCTTAGTAGTTTTGCCGTAAAAAAACTATCTTAAGCATCAGAACTGCAAGTATTACAAATACATTAAGGGTAAAAGAAATGCTACTCATCAAACAAATAATGTAGCTGTTAACCTGAATTATTTTATTGCTTTACTGTTCATACAAGTATAAGGCAAACTTGGTTTTAATGACATATGTTGCTTTAAAGGCATCGAATGAAAGGACACACAACACTTTGGAATCCTGGCTGTGATCATGCAGGAATTGCCACTCAAGTTGTGGTAGAGAAAAAGTTATGGAAAGAGCAGCAAAAAACCAGGCATGAATTGGGAAGAAAGAAATTTTTGGAAGAAGTGTGGAAGTGGAAAAATGAGTAAGTTTTACATAGCTACTCAGTGTTTAAAATAAATTAATCATTAATAGACAGACAAATATTATATTTAGTAGATATGAACTTAGTCTGTATTTAAGAGTTATGTCTAAAAAGAAACCGTTTACCACTTATTTCAATATAATTTTCTTTATAATTGAACTGAAAGTTGGAGCTTGTCACCCTCACAAGAATTTAGCATATTTTCATACAAATGAGCCTGTATCTTTTATATCTGTAGAAAAGGTCATCGTATTTATGAACAACTTCGCTTCATGGGATGTTCAGTTGACTGGGACAGAGCAACTTTTACCATGGATCCTGTAAGTTGAATAAGTATGATGTTTTTATATTCAGACGTAGGTAGAATGTTGTAAAGTGTATTTTATGTAGATAAGTGTTAAGATTACAATTCCACTTGCAAACAGTATTAAGTACTATATATAATGCATCGTATATATTTTGATAGAGCATTAACCCTTTCTTGACGGGTCTTCTTATGTTCAGGGGTCAAAGAGCATGTCATCATGTTTGTAGACTTGCATTCAAAATTTTATTGAATGTAGATTATAATTCAAATTTTAGTATTATACATTAGTTTAGTTCTTAATTTAAAAGTAAATATTAAAAAAAGATATTCTAAATATTGATTTTTGTGTGGCATGTGGTATGTTTGGTTCAAATTAGATGTTTGTGATGTCCAAATACAAAGTCTATAGTTTCTTACGAACTAGAAACTTGAATTATCTCCTATTTGATTCTATTTTATGAGATATAGTTATATTTAATGAATCAACTAAAATGGCTTCACTCACCTCTTCCATTTTTGGAATTACTTGCATACGTACATCTACTCTGATCTGTGACATGTATAACTAAAAGCTCAGAATGTCCCCCACATCGTTTCTCTGCTTTTGTGAAGTGTTTACATGGGAAAAAAACCTTTCTTCTTATGGTAGAATCGATGCGGAAAGGTAGGAGAAAATGTAACTCGAAATATATTTTTTTAGACCCAAATACAGTTTGGTTACTAAGCCTGATAAATTATAGTGTAATTCTGTGGTATTGATATGGTAATTTGTTATTTCAAAATGCATATGTAAAACTGAAAAAAATTATTTTGTTTTATGTCCTCCACGTGCAAAAATGATAAGACTTAGCAAATTACAACAAGTGAGTACAGTTTCAAATTTGATGACGACTACAATGTTTGAAAGTAGACGAGATCATTATTTTCTATACTTTATTTACTGTTCTATGTTTTAAGAAAAATAACTGAAATTTAAGAACCTGTTTGTAAATAGTAATAATATATATACATATATATGTATTATAACCAAATTGTGACTATTTTACAAAATACTGGTCCACTAGAACAAAGTCAAGATGGGTTATTTTGTAAAGACCAGTTATATACTATTGAATACAGTAATATGATTGCACTGTAGTGTGAGAGTTAAATGCTTTAAAATAGATAATATGCACATAACTATAATTTGAATGCCCTGTGGGCTTCCAGAACTTTGTGTACATCATCATTGAAACTTCCACTATTTCCATCAAGTTGATGTATAGCCATAATATTTGGCATACACCATCTTTGTGAATAATTATGATATTAATGCACTGGAATTAATCTGCTAGCATATTTTTATATTTCATTTTGCAAAATATAGTGTTTTGAAAATGTTGGGAATACAATGTTTTTTTAGCAAGTTATTCTGGGGAGAATTTTGACTTGGTTTTTCTGACACTTTTCTTTACTACATCGGTTTCTCATTATTCCAATTTGGATCAATATGGGGCTTTTCTCTGTGACCTCTGAGTGATTCTATTACTCCTTTGATGATGGAATAGTCGGGGGTGGGGATACTATTTAGTTTTTTCTTCTTCACCTGATATTCCTGGTTCATGCTGAGAGATTTACCTGCTTTATTACGTGATGTTTTCTGTTGGCATGCTTTGGCTTTTCACCTCCAGGGAGACATATTTTTTCAATTCCACAGACTAACATTATTTAATTTTGGATATGTGGGGTTCCAAGTTGGTTCATGTGATCACTTTGAACCAATCACTTTTTTTGTATTTCTTTGCTCCTCACTCTTGCTCTGTGATGTTTCTCCTCCCACAAATTGTTGGCAGCCTATCAATGGTCCCCACATTAATTTGCAGACAAATGGGGTCTCCTACTGACTTCTCCCTTGGTCAGATTGTCTGCTTCTGTTCCTTCCGTAGAGATACCTTGGTGAAGGAACTTTATCTACCTGCTGTAGCTTCTGGGTGTCATATGTGGCTTCTTTTATTGTCACTTCATGTTCATGGGTGTCCCTATAAAAGGCAATTGTATTGCAAATCGCCATCACCTGTTTGCTTTTTTGTTGTTGTTATTGACCTTTTGACCTATTTTGGCTCTAGCAGCTGAATAGTCTCAGATCTTAGTTTCAGGGCCACCCAATGCCGTTTGCATTGGTATCAACCTAGGAGGGAGGGTCAGTAAGAGTGAGGTTACAACTATTGATGGACACCTGGTATTCCTTTACTGCAGATTCATGGGCACTTCAGGTTGATCTTTCCATTCAGTTCTCTACCTTCATTATCCTCTCACTCTGTGGTATTTCCACCTCAACAGTGGTGTATGGGTTTTCATTTCATGGCTATCGGACTTACTGATCACGAGGACAGTTGATCCCGTTCTTCAGGGATTTTCTTCCTGTTTACTTGTTTTGCCTGAGACAAGGGGAGAATCGCTGACGATCATCCTTCTTTCTCATCTCAACTTATTCTTTATTTCTCCTCAATGGAATCCTTTCTCACCCTACGTTGGCATTCTTCACCAGGTCCATGGATGCCAAAGTTTGAGGTTGCTGTGGAGGCACTTCTCCACATTCTCATAGTGCATTCATCTTGTCTTTAACCCAATGACCACTGGCTACTAACTTTCTGAGTAGCCAATGCAAGTCTTGCTATATTTCATTCCAACAATAAAACTAGTGGATGAAACTGTTTGATACTTCATAAGAACATTTATAAATGCACGTAGTTTAACTTAAGAAACATAAAGCCTGTTACTTTTGATAAACTTAGTTATTTTGCATCATGATCTTTAATTAGTTTTGGAACAGTGAAAACATGCACGGCCTACAGAGAAGGAAAATAATATCAGATGGAGACTTGAACATGTATAAAATAATAGAAAATTGTACTTATAGTGGGCAAGTAGAGCAAGTGGATTATGAAAATTATGCTGTTAAATGTTACACCATGTTTTTGGTGACCATACAGACTGTTAGTCAACAGTTTGCAAAGATGTTAGTTCTTCAAGTTGTTGTATCATTTCAAAATTTCCACAGCTCAAACTTGCACAGATCATGGATGCTGGATGTCAGGAAAGTAGATAGGCTAGTATCTGACAGAACTACCAACTGTGTAAAGAGTTACATTTATTTGGTTGATATGTTTCCAGGTAGGAAGCAGTTGAACTGATCCCATTTTGGCTCTTACTTTTATTGCTGTCAAGGAGCTGGATTATCATATCAGTATGGACCAGAAAGGTTAGAAAATATAACTTTAAAAAGTTATTCTGCTGTTGTTAAGAGATATGTTGAATAACTAAAAAATATACACCTGGAAAAAAGTTAAGCACCCCCGTGTTTTTTTCAAGTGATTCAGATTCGACGTTCTTGTGACTGATTATAAATTACCATTCAATCTAAAACGTGTTTATCAAAATGAAATTATGCATTATTGGGCACAAGAAAACAAGATTATCACCAT